AACTTAGGTGAGCTTTATTTATCGACGTCTACATATAGTCAATTTTAAATAAAGTAGGAGTTCTTTTGTAGGAGCTATGTAGGTGAGCTTTATTATATTTTGAATTTAATATGTTAAATAATTATATTTAAGAGAGACATCACTGAATATGAAAACTGTCAAATACCGGTGGAATTTCAATATTATATTTTGAATTTAATATGTCAAATATTTTGAACTTTCATAAAAAAGTCAATTAAGTCCTTCTATAGGAGACTCTGTCCGGTCGTCGCGATTTGGGGCAGTTCCCGGTGGAATTTTTTGATGAAATTTTTTGAGCATCTTATTCATCAAGTCTAGTTTATTCATACCAAATATTAGCCAAAAATTTAATCGGGAGCGCATTTAAATTAATTCGAGAATGCAAAAATGCGCAGTTATGTTCAAGAGTTAATTTGAATGTGTTCCCGATTGTATTTTTAGCTGAAATTTTGTATGCGTAAACTAGACTTGGTGAGTAAGATGCTCAAAATATTTCATCAAAAAATTCCACCGGGAACTACCCCAAATTGCGACAGCCGGACAGAACCTCCTATAGAAGGACTTAATTGACCTTTTTATGAAAGTTGGAAGACCTATTTGACAGTTTTCCCGATTTATTAATAATAGTTAACCCCCCAAGAGAAACCATTTTTCCTATGTTCTTTAAAGGAGTTTGATAGATGATGGATACCTATGACTCTTGTTCGATGTTTGTTACATTTCCTGCCAGTCCAAGAGCTGCATATAAGGGTGGAAGAATTCGAGGTTACTATCATGACATGTGGAAATAAATGCTGAAATATGAGGAAGAAATGATAAAGAAAAGACAATAAGAGCAACACATGATATTGAGATAGTGAGATTTTGATTACCATTTTTTTAACTAATTCTTCTTTGGGAAGAACTTCCTTGTATGGAGCAGGAAGATGAAGCATACATACATAATAACATGGTTGGAAATATTTGATTTTGCAAAAAAAAACATTGTTTTAACTTTTACCATATTTGAAAGAGTACATATCAATTCTATGATGGCCAAATAACTGCAGAACAGGGGGAGTGGAAGAATTCCAAGTTAGCTTCCTGAAATGTGCAAAAGAAGAAGAAAAGTCTAATGCATGAAATGCATGAATATGAAATTCCAAGTTACCATTGTTTTCACTATACAATGAATTAGCTTCCAAGAATTCTGTGCATTTACAGATCAGTTTCTGTAAATGCATGAATATGAGGAAGAAGTGTTATAGAAAAGAAAATAAGAGCAATGCGTGATATTGAGATTTTGACTAGCATTGTGTTTTCCTTACTGATTCTTCTTCTGGGAGGAACTTCTCTATATGGATAGGAAGAAGATGAAGCACACATAAACACGAAATAATATGTTCCAAATACTTGAACTTTGCGAAAAGAGAACACTATTTCGATCTTTATAATATTTTGAGTAAATATCAGTTCTCTATCTGAAAGTATTTATACATTAAATTGTATAAATTTAAATTGTCAGTTGCGTAGAAGCAGTATCTATAAATTGTGTTAATTGTCAGTATTTATACATTAGCAATTAATTTCAATGGAGATAGTGTTCTAAAAATGTTTTTGGTTCTTTGATAATTGGCACCATTTCTTTCTCTTCTTTTCCTTACTTTTGGTATAAACAATATTCACAATCTATTCTATTTGACACTGGTTTCTCTCCTCTCACCTTTTTCTCCATTTTGACTTTCAATCTTATACTCTGTTTGGATGAAGATAGGAAAGAAAGAAGTAGGGGTTAAGAGATAGTAAGTACATGTTTTAATTGTTTGGATTGAGAGAAGTAGAAGACATTATATTACTATCAATAATGACATGTTTATATAGTAAAAACAAAGGGTGGATATGTCTATTTTAGTGAGTCCAAATTGTTTTGCTCTGTTTTTCTTGTTAAGTCTCGTCCTAAGTAACACAGAAACGGGAATGCTTTTTTTCACAACAATGCTTTTTTAAATGTATCATCTGTTATGTAATTATGTAGATGTCCATTAATCCATAATCCATAGGCCCATATGTAATGGCCCGTAATAATAGGCCCCGTATCATGACTGTAACCTAGCTCCCTTCCCTTGTATATACTAGATTTTCACCCGCGCGATGCGCGGGACATATACTAAATAATAATATTAAGTAATTAGTTGTTTCGTATTAGTTGTTAATATAAATAGTTAATGCCTAAATGACATGAAAGAGTATATATGTAATTGGTACGAATAATGTTTCAGGATCGTAAGGAATAATAAAAATTACAATAGGAAATCCGTACTCTACAAATTCCGAAATACTTCTTTGTAAACAACATTGGTAGTACGATCGAGTTGTTCCCCATTTTCACTGCATATGAGTATCTTCAAACCCTTGCGATTTGTGACTCTCGATGTTGCAACATACAGTTGACCATGCGTAAAGACTGGCTTTTTTAATAAAAGTCCAACATGCGACAGTGATTGACCTTGACTTTTATTTATTGTCATCGCATAAGAGGTCATGACAGGAAATTGTCTTCTTTGAAACTTGAAGGGAATTCTTGAATCACATGGAGTCAAAGTTAACCTTGGAATGACAACTTCAAGTGTAGCATATTTCCCCCCTAGAATTTTTGCTCCGAGGATGTGATTCCCAAGTCGTGTAACAATCAACCTTGTTCCATTGCAAAGCCCCATAGACGGATCAATATTCCTCAGAAGCATTATCAGAGTACCGACTTTAAGGATTAACTCATGGTTCGGAACTCCTGATGCACGGATTTTATTTAGGAATTCAGGAGTGTGCAAATCAGCCAAGAAATCGGAATTTGAGTCTGACTTGCAGATGCTATCAGAACTCAAATATGTCCTAGACTCTTCCTGAACATTGAGAGATGTCATGTATTCGTTAATTTGATCCACAACATCAAGAGTTGGAGCTAGGATTGCACGCTCTTGCAAGTAGGACAGATCATTGGCTATTTTCTCAAAGTCAGGATAGGTGCTTTTTACAATAGTGGCAATCGGATCCTCTCCGCACTCTAAGAGAATGTCGCTTGGAATTTTGACATCAGCAAATCCATCATTGACTTCGCCCGCGGTACCATCTCCTAAAGCAGCAATCCAGTTCGCAAACTCCACCAAATCTTCATATTCACAATCGTCACTAAGTGATTGGAGTCTCATGTTCTCTGTCAAACGCAAGACAATGCATTCGTGCCAAATATATGAAGAATTAATTGTGGCATTCACTATGTCTTGTCTGGTACCCTTTGTATTTACAGGTAAGATTTGTCTAAAATCTCCCCCGAACACCACCGTTTTTGCCTCCAAACGGTTTATCACTGGTATATGAATTTGTAAATCTAAGGATGTCTCTCAAACTCCTGTCCAAAGCTTCAAAACAATACTTGTGCATCATTGGTGCCTCATCCCATATAATGAGTTTGCACCAAATTATCAACTGTGCTAGTGGACTCCCTTGATTGATGTTGCAGGTGGAGTTTTCAGTCGGATTGATTGGTATTGCGAAACGTGAATGAGCTGTCCTCCCACCGGGTAATAGTAAAGCCGCAATGCCGCTGGAAGCAACGTTAAGAACAATTTCCCCCTTTGACCTCAAAGCAACAGACAATGTTTTCCAAACAAACGTTTTCCCTGTACCTCCGTAACTATACACAAAGAAAACCCCGCCTTTGTTTTCTTGAATCGATTCCATAATCGTTGTGTACACGTGACGTTGTTGATCATTCAAACTATCAATGCATTTCTCATGCTCATGACATAATGCAACACGATCATATTGCAATTCGTCGAATATAAGCCTGTTCTGAGTCATGGATGATTGACTTATGTCAGGGAATGGCATTGATGGATAGTTCTTTAAGCTCCTGCCATTCCTCTTCAACATCAGCTCTATTTCTATTAGTGCATAATTTTTAATCTCCGCCTCTGTTAACGTTAAATCTAAAACAAAGGATTGAAAAACAAAATCAACATAAGAAAGATATGTATGTATTATTGAAATTAATTTGAATCCGGAAAAAAGTAGTAGTTTTGTTATGTACCGGGATGGAGTAAAGTTGTTCTCTGCCTGTGTAAAATGTCATCTGACATGAATGTCCAACATTTTTCCCAAACGTACTCTGGTCTACTCATCGTATCCGCTATCAATAATATGACAAAATGCTTTCTGAGCACCCATGCTGAAGCCCAAAAACTCCCCTCAGAAATTCCGTCAACATACTCTTTGTCATCATCTAACAATCCCATTGCGAAACATGCCTCACGATATGTCTCATAACAAATCCCATCCACAGTTCTTAGATCATCAAAACATGTAGGCCCACGCTTCAAATTTAGGAGGCAACGCAAATAATAAGATTCCTCTGAACCTGGAGGGACATAAGTTAGTCGACCTATAGCAAAACCCTTTTTGCGAGGTACGAATTCTCTTGTTGTAGCCTTCCAAACAAACCTTTGAGGAAATTCAGCATAAGTTAAATCTCGTGCCTCATTTGGGTACTGCTCATTCGCCCTCATCCATGCCAAAAACATACTCTCCTTCACAGATTCGCGTAACACAACATCACTTACCGATGCATTATCATCAAAGTAAACATATTGTTCATCCGGAAAGTGAAAGCTCAATCGTTTAACAGATGGATTCTTATACTGAATCTCAAACCCTAGTATTCTCCACATCGCCTCACATGGAGATATATACCTATAATCGTAGTAAAGTTTTATTTCATCCACGGGTTTCTCGCTATCATCTGCATTTGAAGTTTCATAAAATCCGGCTGTCACATGATCATGTCCTTTGTTGACGTATTTGAACAAATATTTGATTGACCTGCCTTGATTACACCACTCCACATTGAGATGAGCACCGTACTTCAAGAGTAAATACCTATTATGGGGAACAACATATCTGTTGTCAAGGTGTGATCCACTTTTCACAACAGTCCTTCCATCATTGCGCCTTCTATACCTAGGATAACCTTCATCGTCCACGGTTGTCTGCTCATTGAAATTCTTGGGGAAGTGCTTTGCACACTTAGATTGTACCATGCATGGAGCATTTTTTGCTTCATTTCCACACGGCCCATGCATCATATGCATACGTACCGCATTGAAATATTCCGGATCATTTGCCTCATCAGGTATTTCTGCAGAAATGATGTCATCAATGTCTGTCGAAGTGGGAAATTTGTCTGCACTTGCCATGAATAACAAAATATGAGCGTGGGGAAGGCCACGCTTCTGAAATTCCACTGTGTATATGACTGCACATAGAAGAAATAATGTGCCAATGTAAGTTTGCTATATTTTATCTGACATTGTATTAAATAGAATTATAATGTGACTTATGATATACCTGCTCTCACTTCACCAAATGTCTTATTATTACGTAGATCTTTAATCAATCCATCCAACTTCATCTTGAAAACTCTACATATTATATCTGGTCGATCTTCAGGACTCAAGTTTCTTTCTTTAAGAAATCTTACAATTTCTGGCCACTTTGGATTGCATGTGAACGTCAAGAACAAATCCGGATACCCAGCCCACCGACATATAGCCATTGAATCTTGGTAATTTTGCACCATATATCGTACTCCTCCAACAAATGTAGGTGGTAAAACAACTCTCTTTCCTTGGGTAGAAGCATCTCGCTCGCCACTGAGTAAAGCATCGGTAAGGCCTTTGTACATTTCACACCTTAATTGTTTTTGATGTGTTCTGATGTACATTAGTCTTGAAGACTCAACCATAGTATATCCATCAACGACAAATTGTTGGAACAACCTTCTACTTTGGAGGATGAAAGTGCATTCGATGCTCCGCTCATGCAATCTATATGCCAAATATTCCCTAATGCTAACACTTATGCGACCTTTTGTAGAATAAGTATTATCTTCACAAAAATTAATATCATCCCTATAACCATCTTCACCGAAGGGAAATAGAAGTGGGTATTGCAATCCCAAATACGCAGGATTCAATTCATTTATACGCTTCAAAAAACCTCCTTGGGTTTCAACCATTATATCTCTTTGCCCAAGTGATTCATCAAAATCTCCCACAACCAAAGCTGCTACTTCTGAAACTGTAGGTAGATTATAAGTTCTAGCATCTTTATTTCTTCTACCTATTAATTTCAAACTCACTTTTGTCTCGCCACCTTCAGCAATCTTGTCTCGAACCATCCTAAATGACTTCACCAAAACGTTATGTTCATCAAGCATTCCTCTTAAAGAAGACACGATTTCTACATGCAAATTGTTTTTTTGGTATCGTCTCTCACAGAACTCAAGCGGTTTAGATCTTCGTGTTGTGTGTCATATATATATATAGTTGAGCAAATTTCGGGACATTTCCTTCTTGCGGCAATAGAGACCCTATTAGATGATAATTCTGACCACTAAGTTTAAAAATTGGTGGTGACCCACCCCTGTTAACTGCATTATCTATCCTCCCACCCATCGATGTGAACGAAAACATACTATTATATGATCTGATATTATGTTGGAAGTGTTTACTTCTAGGATCTGTCCCGTTAATCAAATCATATAATTGAGGTGGGGGGTCCTTTAGTGTTGGCAATAACATTTTCCCTTGGGTGCAACAGAGAGAGTACTTGGGGTTGGTTTTTGTAGAACTTCGAAGTGTTCTCTCTTCAAACCAGAAGAGTGCTCCACAATGCGGACAGTTATGAGATGGGTCGCCAATGTCACAATATTCAGCACATACTGTGTCTAGAAGAAGTTATTAAGTAACCTTAGTATGGATTAACGTAAAGAAGGTACATTACTTCACACATATTTCGAATAACCATAAGTTATAATGGATGTATTAAATTTGGTAATTTGATAATACATATTAAAAATTTAATTATTTCTACTACAACAAATAATCGACCTAGTACTTTAAAAATATATATTAACGAAGTACATACAAAGTACTTTAATTTGGCTTCAAATTATATACTTAGGTTAACAAAGTACTTTAAAAAAAATTAAATGAAGTGGTCAACTACATCACTATAAAAAGAAAAAACTCATCTAAAAAGACAATAGTTATAACACATGTGGATCATTGTTTGATGTCCATAAAGGTAATAATTATTACATAATTTTTGTTAATGAAATTATTAGGATGTATTAAACTTAGTAATTTCATATGACATATTAAAATTTTTTAAATATCCAAACAAATGATGTGTTTTGAGAAAGATTAGGATTAGGATAAAATAGGTAGTATTTTTGTACCGTGGGTTATGTCTAGTAAAAGATCACTTATTTGGATAGTTGATCAGACCATCAAATTATCTCAATAATGTATATATGTATAAATACTATTGCATTAAAAAGTAACTACTAAGTCGCATAGTTTATATGAATTTATAGATTTACTCATAATCGTAATACATAGGGCTTATTATATCCTTCATCTATTATCGATTATAAGTGAACATAAAGAAAATGCATGACTTCACAACCATAAAAAACTTGATTGGCTACCTAATAGTTATAACAATCGCACCTTCAACTTGATGTGATTGTGATGGAAGTTCATCCTCTATATGTATTGGTACTTCGTCACACATGCGCTGGTTATCGGGAAGACACGCATCTAAAGATTGCTCTACGTTATTGACATTAATTGTCCTGTCGGTCCAAGAACGATTAAATGGCAAATGCGAAACTGTAGATGTAAATACAAATAGTTTGAAATCAGCATCGTTTCACTATACATATCATCGTACAATTCATAATTAATATTTTAAAATTATAATGATTAAAGTAAGAAGTACCATTAGTTCTGTCCATGAAAACATCAGATGACATCTTGTGATTAGGCAACAGACGTTTTTGAACATTTTGGCCAACATTTTCTGTTCACAAATGCAATTAAACACTAAGATGTTGTCAATTACATTCTACCAATAAAATAGATTTTTTTATATATAAGACTAAACCAAGGTAGTGATTTTATTGCGTATAAAAAAAGCCAACTCACACGCCATGTACGTACGCAGTCTGACCGGGAACTGGGAGGGTACCGCTTAAAAAGATGATTTGCCTCTTTTTTTAATAGTTATAGGGTTTGATTGATCGGATTCATAGTGAGGGGGCCTAATTGATTTTTTTGAATAGTTAAGGTGCTCATTTGATAGTTTTCCCGAAAATCTATTTTTGCTAATGTTGTAAACACAATATTTTCAGTCTCTGCTTTTGAAGAATGTGGTCTTGAATTTATTCATTTGTTTATTATCATTATTTGGCATATAAATTATACGTTATGTAAATTAAAAAAATAATTAACCCAAAAATTCAGCCCCTTCAAATTAGATAAAATTCAGATCAATTTGTTTTTTTCATCTCATTCCAACCAACTACCAATGCATAATAGATTAGATTATTTTTTAACCTAATCCAGCCCATAACCCAGCCCATTTTCGGAAATTAAAAAAGCCCACCCGTCCAACACCCATACCCATCAGACAGCCCAAATTCCACCAGCCCAGCCCCAACCCTTCTTATATAATCCCTCTCCAGCACCCTAACACCCCTTCACTCTATTAACCATCAGATAAAACCACTCCTCTCCCTCTACCTCTCTCACCCTCTCACCGATGCTAACCATCGGATACACTGCTCCCCCTCTAACCTCTCACCGATGTTAACCATCATATACACCTCTCCCCCTCCACCTCTCTCACCGATGTTAACCATCAGGTAAACTCCTCTCCCTCTACCTCTCTCACCGATGTTAACCATCAGATTAAACTACTCTCGCCAGTGTTGGGGCTGACTGGTATAGTACAGGGGTGGCTGTGTTGGGGCAAAACCCTCCTACCACCTTCATCTCTGTCGCTGAACTAACCCTCCTCTCATCTTTTATGATTTAGTCTTGTACTGAACTTGAAGTTGTTGTTATTTTTTTTTTATGCGGATATTATTGATTTGCGCTGAATTTTAAAAATCATAGATTACATGCCGGAATTTGAATAGATCTTTCTAGATCTTTGATTCTGTGGTTCGGGCATGTGTTATGATTCAACGTTAATTATTTTTCTGCATTTAGATCTACTTAGATCTACAAATTTTCGGTCAGAAAATATATATTTTTTGAGACATGTAGCCTATTTTTGCGTTTAGATCTGTCTAGATCTATGGATCTGTGACGCGTATATGTCTTCATGTATGAATCTTTTCGATCGAACATGTAAAAAATCAGACATGTAGCATCTGTGGCTTTCAGATCTATCTAGATCCATGCCTTTGTGATGTGTACATGGCTCGAAATGTTATTTCAGTCTTTTATTTTCGATTTGTGACGCGTATATGTCTTCATCTATACATTTTTTCGATCAAACATGTAAAAAATCAGACATGTAGCATTTGTGGCTTTCAGATCTATCTAGATCCATGCCTTTGTGATGCGTACAGGTCTCGAAATGTTATTTCAGTCTTTTTTTGTGGAATTATAATCGTATAGATAAAAAATAGTCCGTCCTTGCTATAATATCATATATGTACCATTTGTTGCGTTAAGATCTGTCAAGATCTGTGCATGTGTGATGCGTACATGTAGTGATAACCCTAGATCTGTTTAGAGCCACAATTTTTTTGTGTAAACATATACAAATATATGACATGCATCAGATTCTGGTTGAGAACTGTCCAGATCAATTCAACTGTGATGCTTGCATATTTGAATATATGATTCAGTCCTTTTGACATGTATAAATTGATACCATGGATCATTAGTTTGGATTGGATTTGTTTATGAACATGCATTTTTATGTGTGTTTTAACTCTACTGCACCAGAATTGGACCTTGGGCCTTGCCTATTCAAATTCCCTGTCAGCCATATAATGGCCTTCGGATCTGCGCGGTTTGACAGGCGGTTTAACGACCCAATGTCCATTTACTGATGTGCCAACCAATGTTTGTACCTAAATTGTTTTATTAATTTAAACTCAAAATATAGTTTTTGTAATACCTTGGTTAGCTAAGTCTTCATTTGCCCTCTTACGGTTGATTATTGTTGATTTAGTCAGCCTCTTCATATCTAAAAGGGACCTTTAAACATTACCTGAATTGATGACATTGATTAATTATTGTTCACATATCAGTTGTTGTTTTAATATCATGCATCATACATACCATAGTATTACGGCTTTTGCAAGAACTCATATCATTAATGATTTATCATTCATTCATAAACCCATACATTCAAACATAACACATCTGCTAGAAAGACATGTAAACACGACAAACGCATTTCTCATGCATGACACACATGATTCGTTACATATTCTTAGTCAAGTCTGCATGTAGTCATCCATTTAAAAGAAATGCCTATGATCATATCATCATTAAAGTACTTGCAATTCAACTTCAAAATCCTATCAGACTTTCGTGGTATGATAGGAGATGCATCCAGCCATGCTGCACAATCTTTGCATAAGTAGTCAACACTGTTCCTTTTCTTGTTTACTTGCTTCATGCAGAAAAAGTGACTATGATTTGAGTTACACCATGAGCATGCATCCAATAGGATTCCCACACAACGTTTCCCACACGTATAGCATCCCCCAGTTGAACATACATGACATGAACACTCACTCATCTTGAAAGGCTAGAATACGAAGTAGATTATATAATATTAAATTCACACTCAAATGCATAACATGTCATTCACGAAATGTGCGTTGTTCATTCAGTCTGCATAATTAAATGTTTTGAAAGCATATGACAA